GTTCCGTTACATTTATCACAGTGAACCTTTGAACTGGATAGTCTTCTGCAATTTTTCAGTGGGAAGATGGAGGTCGAGAGTTCACATAGTTTCTCAGAATTTGGTATAAAACCTCTTGACTCCGTCTCAGAGACCCTTTCTGTAGGGCAGGCTGCTGACCTGCAGTATTAATTTGTTTTTGGAGCAATGAGAACCAGTCTCTATTTGTGCAGGCAAGACTTGGAGGGTAATGAAATTTTGTTCAAAGTTTTCTCAGGCTATTACTTCTATTTTATAGCCTCTCATTTCTTCTTCCTCAAAACTTCTGCTGTGCCTTCCGTGGTGGTGATGACAAAATTGATGCTGTCAGTTACACATCTGCTGCTTTCTTGCTCTTAATCCAAGTCTGTGAGTCGTCATGGGTCTTGTCACCCTGCAAGAGGGATCTCTTGGTTTGTCCATGTCCCAGAACAAGCTAACCTCACCGATGACGGGGTGGACCGTGGCCTCTCAGTGGAGCTTGTGTGAATTCTCTTTGATTCTGATGCCACTGAGGGGCTGCGTGATGTTTCTTCTGACCTGGTGCCTGGGCTGTGCCTCCAGCGCAGCCAAATGTATACCCTGAGAATGGTCAGAACAGTTGAGGGTCACACATCTTCCTTATGTCCTGAGAAAGCAGCAGAATTTTCTTTCTGGACTCCAGATCATTTGTCCAGCATGGCCCCATGTAAGGTCTTCATTGTACCACAGACGGTTGCTTCGGGACATGGTAAGTCCTCGGTGCTGTTTTGGCCCTGGGAGCCCCGTGCTTTGTGAGCCGCAGCAGCAGACACAGTGGCAGATCTCTTCTTGGTACACATTCACTCTATTTTGTGAGTGAGCGAAGGGCTCAGAATTAAATAAAGAGGAGATTGTGTGACTGGTGACTTAATAACTGTGTTCTTTTATTTAGTTTTTATTTCTGTTGTCAGAATTTATATTAGCAGTATTAAGTCTTCTGTCTGTCAGCTACTTGTGACTCGAATAGCCTCTCTTACTGATGAAAAATTTGAGGATTTTGATTCCTGTGTACTTAGTAACTCTACTTAGCTCCTGTGTATTTTTAAACGATTTTTAACAGTTTTATTGAGATGTAATTTATTGAGATATAATTCCCCTACCATACAATCTACTCACTTAATATGTACAAATCAGTGGTTTTTAGAATATTTACAGGGTTAAATCAATTTTAGAACACTTTTGTCACCCCAGAAGGAAATGCCCTACCTATTGGCAGTTACTCATATTTACCCAATCCCTCCAGCCCCTGGTAACCACTAGTCTAATTTCTGTCTCTGTCGATTTGCTCTTTCGGACATTTCATTTAAATGGAATCATACAATAAGTGCTCTTTGGTGTCTGGCTTCTTTCACTTAGCAGAGGGTTTTTATGGTTTATCCATGTCTTAATCTTGGTTTTCCCTCACTCTCTGGGGTGGTATGGAATGCTAATATAGTCTGTCTCCCATCTCTGGGGTAGAGGAACAGTTCACAGGTAGATACATTGAAGAACAGCAACAGCAAAGTACTGGTGAACAAGGACTGTCCCAGGGCTTCAGATGTGCTTCAGCTGCAGTCACTTAAGGGAGGTGGTTTTGGATCTCTGTTGGTTATCCATTGCGGCAGAACTAATTACCCCCAAACTTCAGAGTTTAAAACAATAGCGCTTATTATCTTGCAGTTTCTGTGAGCACAGCTTAGAGGGATCTTGAGCTTTGCCCTTAGCTGGGTCACGTGGCTGTCATCCTCTCCAGCACCGTCCCCACACTTCATTCACTTGGCTATTGGCAGGATTCAGTCCTTTGCAGGCTTCCCTCAGTTCCTTACAAGCTGTTGTGGGTTCTCTGCTATGTGGGCCTCTCCATACAGCATGTCACAGCGTGTCACCTGGCTGTATCGAAGCCAGCAAGCAAGTAGGCAAGAGAGGGGGCCAGTTAACTGAGCACAGCAGTTACATCCTATCTCTTGCCATATTCTGTTCATTAGAAGCATGTCATCAGGTCCACCTCACACTCCAGGGGACGGGATCACACAGGACGTGAATACCAAGAGTCTAGGATTACAAGAGGGCCGTTTTAGAAGCTGCTTGCCACAGTCTCCTACCCCTTACTGAGCAAAAGTCTTGTCCATTTGTGATGTATTAGCTGGTGTCAGAGAAGTGGATTGCTGATTTCCTTGACTGCAGAGGTTCTGTGGAGAAATGTGTTCTGCATTTGTAGTGTTCTAGGGAATACAGTAAAATTCCCTGATGTAGATGTGCTAATCATTTGTCAGCTGTTCATTTTGAGAGCCTTTTCTATGAAATTGGCACATCTTTTCTCCACCCTGAGATGGCGGGATGGCGTGATGGCGTTTAGTTTTATTTTCCTCATTTTGTCTTAAGACATCTTGACAAAATAATTCCTCCTCTTTGTCCCCTCCATTCCCATCCCTGCCCCCATCCTTGGTCTCGGAACACTACTTGATGGCCGTTGCTAATTCTTTTCTCTCCTATTGCTTAACTGTCATTTTCATGGACCCTTGCTCTGTGTGTTTAGGTCTTTAGAGATTATTTTTGAAAATTATCCACCTTTATACACATGTCATTGTGACTCTTCTTTAGTTCCTTGACTTTTTTTGGATACTGAAATAGTTAGAGTGGTTTCTAGTGTTCTAGTACAGAGAACAAGGTGATAAGGTGAAACTGTGCCCTTTGCTCCTAATAGAAATTTAAAGAAAAGTCCATAAAATATTTCCAACTTGTAGAAAGTACAGAGAATAATAGAACAGAACACTCAGGTACCCTCCACTTGGATTTATGAAGTACTAATCTTTCATTTGTTATGTTTTTGCCTCAAATTTTTAAATTCATTTATCACAATTCATTTATCATTTCAAAATGTTGTATTGATGGACATGTTGGTTATTTGCATATTTTTGCAATTATAAAGACTGCTATGGTGAGTGTATCCTTGGCTTATGGGCTAGAGTTTTTCTAGCCATAGATATCTTTAAAATAAACTTCTGCAGGGAGGCAGGACAAGGAGGGGAGAAGAAATAGGTTAGGGAGATTAAGAGGTACAAACTTCTATTTGCAAAATAAATGAGTCACGGTGTGAAGTGAACAGTGTGGGGAATATAGTCAGTAACTATGTGATATCTTTATTTGGTGACGTACTGTAACTAGACTTATCCTGGTGATCATTTTGAAATGTATAGAAATATCAAACCCCTGTGTTGTAGAATAGTAACTATCATCATGTTGTAGGTTGATTATATTTCAAACAATCAAACAAACAAACTCACAGAAAAAGAAATAAAATTTGTACTTACCAGAGGCAGGGGATGGGTGGAAAGAGAATTGGATGAAGGCAGTCAAAAGGTACAAACTTTGATTTGTAAGATAAATAAGTACTAGAGATATAATGTTTAGTATGATAATTAACACTGCTCTGTGTTATATATGAAAGTCATTAGGAGTAAGTCCTAAGAGGTTTTTTTTAATCATAAGAAGAATATGTTTTTTCTATTTTTAAAATTTTATATCTATATGAGATAATGGATATTAACTAAACTTACTGAGATAATCATTTCACCATGTGTGTAGGTCACATCATTATGCTGTACACCTTAACCTTATATTGTGCTGTATAGCGATTATATCCCAATAAAACTGGAAGAAAAAAACTTCTGGGTGATTGATAAGTAAAACAGTAAGTAACAAACATTTCTGTAATATATTGAAAAGAAATGTTACAGCCATTTTAAATAACATTACATGAAAGAGGGAAAAATGCTTTTGTGACTGACAGCCATTTAGATGGAAAAAGGTTTACTCATGTTGCCTTTCATTCCTGGATGAATACTACTGTGAGTTTTTTTTTTTTTTCCAAAACAACTATTTGTATGACTAGAAGGAAAACTGGTAGAATATTGGAATTTGTAGCAAAAACTGCTTTCATATGATAATTTAAGAAAATATTCAGTATATACTTTTCTTATTTTTGTTTGTGATATTTGTTCCTATCAAGGGGTAATTGGCAAATCCATATTTATTCTTTGCGTCGTACCAATTTCTAAGCAAGATTTTTTTTAGCTTATATTATGGAAAACTTCAAACACACACAAAAGTAGAGAAAATAGTACTGTGAACCCTCATGTATATATACGTCACCCAATTTCTACACAGTTTACTTTCTTTTGAGCAGGATTTTTAGCTGCAATGCTAACATTAGTTTTATATTTAGAAAGTATCATATTCAGTGTAACACAAAATTAACAACATTCATTTGGAGAATTATTTCAGTATTCCTATGAGCTAAGTGGCAGTTATTTAGAGGACTCATTATTAGATTTAAAAGGTATCTTTTTTTTTAACATTTTTTATTGATTTATAATCACTTTACAATATTGTGTCAAATTCCAGTGTAGAGCACAATTTTCTAGTTATACATGAACATATATATATTCATTGTCACATTTTTTTCTCTGTGAGCTACCACAAGATCTTGTGTATATTTCCCTGTGCTATACAGTATAATCTTATTTATCTATTCTACAATTTTGAAATCCCGTCTATCCCTTCTAAAAGTTACCTTTTTAATATAGTTTTGCTAATTTGTGGTGGGATTTTGAGTTTCTTCTCTCCATTAGTTGCTCGGACTAATGGTCTGTCTGACCAGTCTTCTCCTTGACAGGGAGATTGTCCACAAACTTTATAAAGTGTTACATAAGCTCTTCAAAATGCTTTTTTTTTAATAGACTTTATTCTTTTAGAGCAGTTTCTGGTTCACAGCAGAATTGAGCAGAAACCCTTCAAAATGCTTTCATATAGAATTGGGAAGTTATTCTAAACACTCAGAGGACTCCATTTTTTAAATGAAATCCAGGGGCAAGCCAGCAGTTGCCCCTGGTATTGCAGTGCTTGTGGACTGTATAGAGCCAGAGGCTGTAATTCACTGTTTGAGCTGTGCTGCATGAGTTTCCTGTGTGCTTGGATTCCAGATAGCAGTGGTCATGGGCTTCTGTACAGCAGGAGGAGCTTACTTGCCTGCAATGGCTGATGAAAACATCATTGTACGCAAGCAAGGTACCATTTTCTTGGGAGGACCCCCCTTGGTAAGATCATAATTTTTTTTCCTTCTTTTATGTAAGAACATAGTCTTGCTTGAAGTAAAATTTACATAACACAAAATTTACCATTCTAACCACTTTTAAGCATACAGTACTCTGGCATTAAGTAAATTCAGCTTGTTGTGCAACCATCACCACCACTCATCTCCAGAACTTTCTCATCATCCCCAACTGAAACTGTACCATTGAACACTAACTCCCTATCCCTCCCCCCACCCCCCGCCACCTCCACTTCCCTGGCAGCCATGGTTCTACTTTGTCTATGAAGCGTGGTTGCCAGGGCAGTGGAGGTGTACATTCCACATGTTGTCTTTTTGTCCATAGGTGGACTTTTGGGTTGCTTCCACTTTGCGGCTATTTGGAATAATGCTGCTGTGAACATGAGTATATACAAATATCTATGTGAGTCCCTGCTTCATTTCTTTTGGTTACACTCAGAAGTGGAATTGCTGAATCATGTGGTAATTCTGTTTAATTTTTTGAGGAGTAACTTCATTCCTTTTTATGGCTGAATAATATTTCATTGTATGGATAGGCTGCATTTTATTTATCCATTTACTGGTTGATGACAGACATTTGGGGTTTATTCCACTATTTGGGTATTATGAATAATGCTGCTATGAAGGTTTATGTACAAGTTTTTATGTGGATATATTTTCATTTCTATTGGATGTAAACCCATGAGTATAATTGCTGGGTCTTAGGGTAACTCTAAGGTTAACATTTGGAGGAACAGCCAAGCTGTCCAGAACATATTTTACATTCTTGCCAGCAGTGTGTGAGGGTTCTGATTTCTCTGCATCCTTGCCAACACTTGCTATTGGGTGTCTGTTTGATGTTAGCCATCCCTGTGGGGTGTGATGTGGTACCTTGTTATGATTTTGATTTGCATTTTCCTAATTACACTGAGCATCTTTCATGTGCTTGTTGGCCATTTGTATAACTGGTCAACTGAAAAACTGTCTATTCAGATACTTGCCCACTTTTTAATTGGTTTATTGTCTTTTTATTGAGTTTTAAGAATTCTTTATATGTTCTGGATAGAATTTTCTTATCAGATAAATGATTCACTTTTGTTCATTCGTTTGTCTTTTCATCCTCTTGATGGTATTTTCCTTTGAAGCATGAAAGTTTTAAATTTTGATAAAGTCCAGTTTTTATATATTTTTTCTCTTTTTGCTTGTGCTTTTGGTGTCATATCTGAAGGCATTGCCTATTCCAAGGTCACAAAGATTTAATCCTTTGTTTTGTTCTAATAGTTTTGTAGTTTTAGCTCTTAACATATCTTTTCTTCTACCTCAGCTGTATTATTGTTTGACTCAAGGTCTGTAATAAGTCAATAAATTGTTTAGTGAAAACAGCAAGGTGCTTACACATAGTGTGTTAACTTTTGTGTAAAATGGAGGTAATTATACGTTTGTAAATTTGTATATGCAGAAAAAAACTCTGGAAAAGATACAGTAAGTATTTAAATGCAGAGGAGATGAGACAGGATGAAAGAGAGACTTTTGACTTTCTGAGTCTAGTGAAAACATTATCTTTTAAAAAAGGTTACATTCACCATTTCCTAAATTAGAATAGCTATGAGTGGTGCTCTAAATTTTTAATACTAGCAAGCTTTATGAATCACTGGTATGGCAGCTACATGATATGCACACCCCAGTACAAAATGAAAATATGGGACCCTTTGTTCAGAAAGGAGGAGGAAAGTACTGTTAAAGTACTAAAATACAAAACATTTTCCTTTCTTCTGTGGTTCATTTACCTGTCATGGTGTTTTTATTTATTTAACGACATGCTCCCCCCTCATGCGTCCCAGCTTCCAGTGGGCCCACCACGACCCCAGAGGGTGGGCAGCTCCATGCAAGAATGTGCTTGGTACCTGGATGGGGAGTGGGTGGCAGGCTAGGCTTTAGCTCCCTCTGGCCCCACCGAGCCGCCTATTGGAGAAGCACCTCAGCGCTGCCAGCCCAGGACAGGGATGGTGCTGCTGCGCTTCTCCCTGAGACACCACAGGGTGCACAGCTGACCTCTGACCCTTTGCCTGTGCCAGGCCCCCACCGTAAGCAGATGTAACAGTCACTGGACAGGGAGGTAGGGCAGGACCCAGGACCCAGGCATTAGTTGGTTCGGAAGCAGGGAACCAAGAACCCATCCCAGGGAGCTGGTGGGAAGTAGACCGGGCAAGAGCTGAGGCTCTAAACCTCAACACACACCCTCCACTGTCCCATCAAACTTCACTTATGGAACACAAATTCAAGGATAAAATTAGGTAGAATTTCAGTAGGGTGACCACTGAGCATTAAACTCCCAAGCACAGGGCACTTCTGAGAGTGAGACCCTTGCAACCTCACTGGCCACCTTCCCGTGATGCAGGCACTGAGGAGTTGATTATGTCGTCCTTGGGTCTTCCTCACCTCCCCTTTGGTCAGCTCCATTTCAGTGATTTTCAGTAGTGCAGTCATCAGTTTCCAGTGCTTATGTCACAACATGACCCTAGACCTCAAAGCGAGAAAGAGTGGATAAAGACATGGGTAATTAGCACACCTTACAACAAAATGTTCCATTACATAAGTAAAGTCCAAGAATATTAACTAGGTAAAAAGAAGAATGTCAAGGAAATTCTAGAACTGTTATATATATACAGTGGAGTATTATTCAGCCATAAAAGGAATGAAGTTCTGACACATCCTTCAACATGGATGGACCTTGAAAACATTGTGGTAGACACAAAAGGACAAATACTGTACAGTCCCATGTCTATGAAATATATACAGTAGGCAAATTCATACAGACAGAAAGTAGATTAGTTGTTGCAAAGGACCAGGAAGCAGATTGAATGGAGAGTGACTGCTAATGAGTATGGGGTTTCTTTTGAGAGCTGTGAAATGTTCTGGAATTAAGTGGTGGTAATGGTCACACAACCATGTCGCTATAATAAAAAAGACTGAATTGTATGCTTTTAAATGGTGAAATTTTATGGTATATGAATTATATCTTAAAAAGTAAGTTTATTGCTTCAGAAGTCTGTCAAAGAATCTTTAGTTTTAGAATAGTAACGCAAATTTATTAAACAGAGTATGTTTAAAAGGAACTTATACTTTGATGTTAAATAAATTTATTTTCCAAACAACTGTGTTAATTTTTGATAACTTTTATTGAGGCTTAGAGCTGCCCGAAGAGCTGCCATTTCAAACATAATCAGTCTCGAGGCATTATTCAAAAGGTTTATTATTCTTTAACATTTCTCTAGCAACATGTGATAGCTATCATAGGGTGTAAACTTTCCTGGGTAGTTCTTGTTTATTTTTCTTCAAAGAATGAGTAAAGATATGATTAAAAATTTAAAGCATCTTTTTGGGAGTATAGGCAGTATCATAATAGCAAAATGATGCTAACTTTTTGAGAGAAGATTTTGTCTAAAGATCAGCATGACAGTGTTCAGGGGATTCAGATTTACCCTGTACCTTAGAGAGGAGCACCACAGCAGCCGGAGAAGTCGGCAGTTCTCCTAGAGAACTGAATCTTGTTCAGGAGCCTGCCTTTAAAAGGCCGTGTTTACGGGTAGAAGAAGCAGTAGCAGCTTCATTTGCTTGAGAATTCTAAATTCTGTTGCTCGTTTTACGGAAAATTGAGAAAAGGCTTTGTAGGTTTCACACATAATGTGGGATTGAGGTGCCATAGCTTTCATTAGCTTAAAGTGGTTGAAAAAAAAATGCATAGTAATAAGACAAGTTTTTAAAGGAGCTTTTTGTGCTATCTTTTGTTTATCTTCTGAACTTGTTATTAATAGAATGAGCTGTTTCCATTTTCTCTTGGGCTTTTATCATCATTATACATATCACAGTTTCAAACGCATTTTTGAGTGTTGAATAAATATTAACGAATGACAAATCTTTACTTTTTCAGTTGGTATCAGTCAGTTCCCTGAAAATGAACATAGGATATTGGTTGTTTATTCCTTTTTACAACTTTAAATATCCAGACACCTCTTATGACTAGTTATTGCCTGGACTGAATGCTATTTTACATTGAATTTTTTGGGAAGAAGAGAACCAAGAATCTAACTCTGGGGGTGGAATAATTGGAGGTGAAAAATTTAATTACCACTTTCTGTGGAATAATATTTTATTTAAGGCAGAGCTTTGATGTAATGAATAAGTCATTTCTATGCTGTGTTTTAGATTAATGTTCATTATTCTAATAAAAGCTTTTTTTTTATTACTTGAAGAAAAACAAAATCAACCCAAAGAAGTAGGATCAATAAGTGATTCCTAAGGGATCATCAGGTTGGCATTTAGCACTAAATGATTTTTCTTTCTTTTTCTTGTTAGAATTTCTCAGGCTATAATTAAGTCCTTCTTAATTTATTACGAGAGGTTTCTTTCTTTTTGGTCATAGTCTGCTAAATCTTAGATGTAGATAATCGTGTTTTTTTTCCCCCATCTTAAAGGTATTGTACCTTTAAGAGTTTGTTTTTGATAGTTACTGGAATTTTTCAGCAACAGTGAAAAAAAGGCATTACTTCAGTACATTTATTGAGTGGTGAAAGATGCATAAATCACAGTTTATGCCATCAAGAAACTCAACAGTATAGAGGAGATGACAGTCATGTATAAATTACTGAAATAGAGTCTGTCAGGTGCCATGTTGGAAGGGTAGGTGGAATACTCTTGGACCACAGATGAGCAAGCATTGCTCTATTAATACCAGTAAGTGTCATTAATAATGAAAAGGCCTAAGCAGGTCAGGGAAAGCCACATACAGCAGGCAGGGCTTGGATAAGCAGGGCTTAACAGGTGACTGAGAAGGAGGTGGGAACCCACACAGTGGGAACAGCGTGTGCACAGATCTAAGACTTTAATGTGTGTGAAGCAGCATCACATAAGGCAAAGAGAGCAGGCTTTCAGGTCAGGAATGCCTGGTTTCAAATCAGGTTCCATCTCTCTCTCTTTTTTTTTTAAATTATCTCTTTAGTCTCCTTTATTGTCCCTTGGTTTTTGTTTGGTCTTTCATGACACTGACTTTTTTTTCTTTTTTCTTTTTTTTTAAATGGAGATACTGGGGATTGAACCTAGGACCTTGTGCATGCTAAGCATGTGCTCTACCACTGAGCTATACCCTCCTCCGGGTTGTCTCCTGCTCAGGGGCTGTGGGCAAGTTCCCTAGTGAATCTGGGTTCAGATTTTTCATCTGTGGACTAGAGACAATATTAATTAGGTTTGCCAGGTGGGTAGAATGAAAAAACAAAATGTTCTTTAGCTCTATGGAAGAAAAAATGGTAGGTATAGTCAGGTTAGGAGATGTGTAGGGAAGCATTTTCCTTTCTCCAATGGGCAAAACTCACCATCGGCTTTTATCCTTGTTGTAGGTTAAAGCAGCAACTGGAGAAGAGGTGTCAGCTGAGGATCTTGGAGGTGCTGATCTTCACTGCAGGTGAAAGAGAAGTGGTTGTTTCTTTCTAGGACTGATTGTCACTTGTTTGTTTAGAAGAAGTTTTAAATTATATTTTTCCAAGTGTTAAAAATTGCCAGATCAAACTAGTTTATTTGTTCCCAATCTGCTGTTTTAGGATTCAATTATTTGGAGTTGCATTTCTAAGCAAGAACATCAGCTTTTTCACTATAGCCTGGGAAGTCTGAAGAGATGAATTTCTTATTTGTTTAACAAACACCCATTGAGCACCTGTTATGTGCCAGACAGACACTGTTTAGATGTTTGAGATAATAAGAAAGACATTGTTTTTGATCTCAAGAAGCTTATATTCTTAATCAAGGAGGTAGGCAATAAATAATCACCAAGAAATTACATAAATACGTATATATGGTAAGGCTTACAGAAAAAGAAGTATAGAGAGAGCATACAGAAGGTGGAGCAAACCCAGTGGTGTCCAGGTGTTATGACTTTGTTTAACTAACACTTTTTAAGTGTTGGATCCCCCACAGGGATCTTATCTAAGTGAACAGGTGCTGGGAGGTGGGGGAGACGTGATCATAACGGCTGTTGGGGAAGTCGTATCAGGACTTACATTTGCTTGTGACTGAGCTGCTCTCTAGGGCTAGCGTGTGGGACTAGTGTCAATTTAAGGTCCCCGCAGGCCACTTGGCCCAACAAAATGGATGCTGAGGCAGCAATGTCACGGAGTAGCTCAGCTAAACTCTCAATAGCAGGTGAATGCCTAACAGCTGGTTCTCTGGGGAGGAAAAAACCCTGCTTGTGGCATTTGCTAATTTCTGTGATATGACCCATTCCACCATGGCTGATTTCAAGCTATGGACAAGACACCATGGAGCATGGAATCAGGAAGAGATGCACACAGTTAGCTCTTAGGCATGAGCCGGCTCCATCGCCTTGCTGGTCTAATCATTTCAGTTTAGAGGTCAGGGGTAAGAAGACAATTTACCTTCTAGAATTTTGTGAGGATTAAATGAAATGATATCACAAATTTCTTGGAACAATACCTGCTGTAAATAAATACTTATAAATGTTAACTGCCATTATTATTGTTTATCATCATAATCAGTCGTTAAATATTTTGGTCTCTTCTTTTTTCATGAGCAATTAGGAAACCATTGAAGAGTTTTAAAGAGAGTTGTGCCATTATCAGATATTTCATTAAAAGAAAATCTTTCTGGCTGCTAAATGAAGAATGCTTAGAGTTGGCAAAAGTCTATGTGAGGGACCGATTGGGTGGTTGTGTCAGTATCATAGGTGAGAGATGTTGGTGGCTTAGGTGGTTATGGTGGCAGTGAAGGTGGAGAGTGACTAGATTTGAGCTTTGTTTTAGAGGTGGAATTGAGGGACTTGTTGATGAATTTCATATAAGGGAAAAGTGAGGTGACAAAGTTGATGACATGAATAGGTTTCATTTCCTGAGACTGGGAAAATGGGAAGCAAGGCAGAGTTGTGGATGGGGCAGGGGGATCAAGTGTTCCTTTTGTACCCTGTCTTGGAGATGCTCCAGACATCCAAATAGAGATGCTGAGTAGGCAGTTAACTGTGAGTCTGGAACCCAGATCAGTGCTGGAGAGCCATCAGCATACTGATGGCAGTTAAACCATGGGACTGATGAGCTCGCCTCAAGGTGAGTATGGACAAGGAAGAGGGCCCAGGACTATCCCCTAAAGAACCCAGCCATAAAACGGCAGGTCGAGCTAATCATTGAGCTCAATGGCCTGGCCGGTGCAGTAATCCTTTCTTTGCTCTGCCAGATCGCAGGCCCAGGGAGGCAGGTGGCTATGGGGACAGTCTAGCAGGTGGGAGAAGGAAAACAGGTACAACATTTCCACTCTCCTATCAAAGAACAGTGCCGTCCTTTTGAAGAGTTGGTAGAAGGACCCACCCTTGCCTCAGTTTTTCATTCATTTCTTTGTCATTGAGCACTTACTTGTGGGTAGATTGATTGTGCTAAGTTTTGCGAGTAATACAGAAGAATTTCAGGCCTTGTCCCTGCCCTCAAGGACTTATAATTTAATTAGGCAGATAAGAGAAACAAATGAATGAACTGAAAAACAATTACAAAACAAATGATGCTAGCATGCTTCCAGTGTTAGAACTAGAAGCAAAAGGAAGAATAATTAAGGGAAGAGCTGGAGCAGAGTTGAGGTAGTCAGAGAAAAGCTTAGAGAGCTTGAGTTTCTGCCCGGGTTTGAGCAGAATACTTGTTTATTTAGGCGAACACCACGGTGTGAGCACAGATGCAGCATTCCTCTTATCTGGCCGTTTGCTGACTGTACAGGGAGACAGTGGAGTAGATGTTTCAACCTGGAGAGAGAGAGAGGGGAAGCAGGTAGAATAGGAACAGGGCAAAGTGGGCTGCCACTTAATCAGGGAATGGAGATGAAGATAGTATTTGTGGAGCATTAATTTTAAAAAGATTTTTTTGACTGTTTAAAAAAGTCATCTGGTGCTCATAAAAGCTGTAGGCAGTATATTAAGTTAGAGGCATAGGTTCTAGAATTCATCTTCCGTTTGCCTCACTTATTACCCTTGTGAGTAGACAGACCACTTAACTTCCCTGAGCCTCACTTCCTCATGTGTAAATGAAGATATGAATCGTTCCTGTCTCATAGCAGAGTGTTTGGTGCACACCGAGCCCTGTGACTGCTAGCTGTTACCGTTAATAATAACCTTCTTAGAATCATGGGACAGTGATTAGATGGTGATGGCTTTTTTGGGAACAGTGTCATAAAATTTACCGGCACAGGTTGCTTTGGCTTCTCTCTGTCGTTATGAATACATCTTTATACCTCTCTGATTCGTCATCCTTAATAGTTTATTTGACACAAAGCTTTATGTAATACAGTGTCTCATCGGAAGTTTCCCTTTCCTGCTGTTTTTGTAAATACTAGGCAGTTTTTTTTTAAAAAACATTTTATTTTAAATATTTACTGATTTGGAAGCAGTTCCTTCACCTTCTCTTTGCTTACTGAATTACTGCAGTATAGCTGGAAGTCAGCAATTATAGCTGGTATTATGTGTGAAGCATTTGAAAGATATGGTCAGTTATAAAATGTCATGTTAAATTGAAGAAACTGAAGAATCTACCATTTACAAAGGTATTGGAGGACTATAAAGAGGAGTACACACGCTCTCTGCTCTTACTGAGGAACACCCAACCCAGAGTTGGACAGTTACATGAAACCACTGTGAGAGCCCAATTCTAAGAAATGTCTCCCAAGGATTTGGTGTTTTCCCTAGACAAGATGTCAAAGTTTAGATTGTGGAAGCTTAGTCCTTGCTCATAAAATGAACTAAAATTCATTTTTTTCAGGTATATATTTTTGCCTGACTTTACAATTTTTAAAAATACTTTATTAGAAAGTCATGTATACCTACAAGTGAAATAACAAGCCATCTAATTGGAATGGAGCTAATAACCAGAACACAACTGTGCTTCATTCACATTGAACTTGAAATTGAGCAGGAACTTCCTTATCATAGTTCCATTTTATTAATACCCATTTTTACCATTAATCTGAAGGACAATGCCTTCAAGCCTTTGTGTGTGCTACCTGTAACAGTATACTCTTGGGGTGTAATGTGGTAAGGGAGGCCTGAGCAGTCTCTCAGAAATGAGAGACCACAGCTGGCATCTTCACTGGGGTCTTGGTTAGGTGCAAACTTTTTTTTTTTAAATTGAAGTATAGTTGATTTACAATGTTACAGTAGTTTCTGGTGTGCAGCATAGTGATTTGTGATTCATATTCTTTTCCATTATAGGTTATTGCAATATATTGAATGTAGTTCCCTATGCTACATATTAGGACCTTGTTGTTTAAATGTTTTATTTATAGTAGTTTGTGTCTACTGATCTTTCCCACTCTTTCCCCTTTGGTAACCACAAGTTTGTTTTCTATGTCTGAGTCTTTTTGTGTTTGGTAAATAAGTTCATTTGCTGTTACTGACTACATCATGAAAGTGTGCCATCTGTGGTTGAACTTTATCATATTACAATTTCTTTTGCGGTGTATGGAATAAGCATTAAATAGAATTCTTCATCAGTAGGACCTTGTGGTTTAGTAGAAGAAGGTCAAGATTGAGAAGTAGAAGATGTGGGTTCTTATGCAGCCACTGGTGGTCTTAGGGCAAGGTACTTAACTTATGTGTACCTCAGTTTTTCCTGTGTAAAACAAGGTTAGCACTGTTTTGTCAGGGACATTATGAAGATCAAATTAGATAGTATTTATTAAAGTGTTTTGGAAGTGAGGAGATGTCATCCTTAGATGAGAAGAAGATCTTTGGGGTTTAAGATATTTAATTATTTTCCTTTTCCCTGTTCTGATTGTTTTAGTGTGCTTTACTCTGTAGAAAGTCTGGAGTAAGTGACTACTACGCTTTGGATGACAATCATGCCCTTCACTTAGCTAGGAAGATTGTGAGGAATCTAAATTATCAGAAGAAATTGGATGTAAGTTGAATGTTCTTTTATGTTTTATTTTCCTGAAAAGCATTTTGGCTTATGTCACCTTGAAATGATGTCTTTAAACAGGCTAATGTGATTGTTCTATATTTCTGCAGGTTACTGTTGAACCTTCTGAGGACCCTTTATTTCCTTCTGATGAATTGTATGGAATAGTTGGTACTAATCTTAAGAGGAGCTTTGACGTCCGAGAGGTGTGTAAACTGGAACTGTGAGGTGCAAGCTGTGCTGTCAGTTTGTGACGTGTGTTTAAACTTCATGTAAACTATAAGCTTATGTGTATTTTCATAGCTGAAGGGTGTTTCAGTTATGTTCATCCCTAAACTAAGGGACTTTTGTGGATCTCAGTAAGAAGTGACATATGAGACAAAGATATCTTGCTAAAAGACAGAGAGGGGAATAAAATCCCTCTTAATTATTGGGAAGTTTTCACTGGATGATGACAAAGCTTGCTTTGTTCATAATTAGGATTCTGTATTCCTGTGGACATTAGGAGTGATGTAGGACAGTTTCACAATTTCCAGCTGTTTTTTAGTGTTCTTATTTTGGGAAATGGATAAAATGTCAGTAAGTTGTTGACAGGAAAAGTGCACCCTTTTAGATCAATATGATATGAGCAAAGATAGAATCTTGATTAAAGTTGAAGGTGCGTTGCTATGGTTACAGATTGTCGACATAGTCTCCTGTAGTCTAGGTTGACAGTTTTTAGTGCTTGCACGTAGCATGTAGACTTTTATTTTATTCAGTATCCATATCTGGCAGAATACTTTATAAATTAGAAGGTTGTCTTAATACCAGATTCTGTGCCTTAATATTTTGTTACGTTTCCCCTTGACTATACAACTATTATGTACTAATTGTGAAAAATGTAAAAAATACAGGAAAACATAAAATTACTTGTAATTCCACTATCCAGAGAGTATTTTGGTGTTTTGGCTTAATGTGTCTGTACACATTTTTATGTAGTGGGGATAGTGTGTGTGTGTGTGTGTGTGTGTGTGTGTGTGTGTGTATTTGTTTAAACTCTACTTTTTCCAGTTTAAATTATAAACATTTTCCCATTATTTAAAAGTTCTTTATGAAACATTTTCCATGGCTAGGTCCTAATTCTTATAATAGTACCTGGCAGTATAGTAGGCACTCAGTAAATATTTTTTTGAATGAACTGATGAATGTGATATCCCACTTACGGATGTGTACAATTATTTATTTAGGCAATACTCTTATTATTTTTAGAGAGTCTTAAGACCTGGATTTTAATGGGGCTTCAATGGGTACTTCACTTTAGCATGGTAACTTAGTTAACTGTGAGCTTTAGAATTAGGTTTTTAGTTTGACTTTTCAATTAATTATAGGCATAGAAAATTCAAGTATTTACAGTCTGATGTACCTGAAAAATGACTTGTTCTGGATAGTCAGATTTTCTGGATGGCTAAGAATTCATTCTTTTAAGCATATTCACTTTTTCATTTATTGAGTACTTGTTCCATGAAGGTATTGTTTCAGGCACCAGGGGCAGAGAAATGAGCAAAACAGGTGCAAATCCTTGCCTTCACAGTAGTTCAATTTCATTTTAATGGAGATCTATTTATAAAGATAGACTTCTGCCTTATTAAATTATATCCTGGACTTCTGCATTTTGCTGATTCATGTTCATCATTATGATGATAATTTACTACATTTTTCCGTAATAGCAAATAATTCTTGTTTGGGGGTCTTACTAGAATATGGAGCTATGGGGCAGCCTTGGGATATTAACTGGAAAACCCAGGTTCTAGTCCTTGTTTCCCTAGTCAGTGTTACTGGGATTGAACCTCTCTGAGCATTGATTTCTGCTCCTAGGAAATACCATATGATATGCCTGCTTCCTGAAGTTTGAGTCTTTGTGAAGATCAGTTAGTATATTTTATGTGGCTGAGTGGACTTCATCATAAAGCAAATAGAAAGGGGCTTCACATTAAATGGCCCAAGATTGCTCTGCCCTTTTGAATGGTTTTCTCTTCATGTGGGAGAACGGTCATGTGTTTATTGGTTTTCAAAAGGTACAATTTTGGAGGTACATAGCACTTAGATAACTGTTATACCCCCACTTTTAGACCTTTTAGGAAAAAAACCGAAAACATTTCAAAGTAAGCTTTTACTTTTTGGAAAGAGATATTAGGAAGCGTTCACTTATTTTTTTCAGTCTTTGCATCTTACAAAAGAAGCCTTTGATATGGTAAAGAGGAAAAGGAAGTTTGAACTAGGTAGAAAAAATGATACATGTTATTTGAAATAGTTTCTGAAAAAATTTGAATTATGCTTCATGTTTTGAACGCTTTGAAATAGTCCTGATGTAGAATGATGAGCCCTGACGATAAACCTTTGTCAGTCGCATTGTTTGCAATTATTTTTTCCCATTCTGTAGGTTGTCTTTTTGTTTTGTTTACAGTTTCCTTTGCTTTGCAAAGGAAATTAGGTCCCATTAGGTCCCATTTATTTATTTTTGCTTTTATTTCTCTTGCCTTGGTAGACTGCCCTAGGAGAACATTGCTAATTAAGATTTATGTTAGAGAATGTTTTGCCTGAGTTTTCTTCTAGGAGGTTATAGTGTCTTATGATTGAGTCTTTAAGCCATTTTGAGTTTATATTTGTGTATGGTGTGAGGGAGTGTTTTAATTTCATTGATTAACATGCAGCTGTCCAGCCTGAGGATAAACTATTTAGTAATCTCTACTCAGTTAAGATTAATTATATATTAATATATATATATTACGATTAATTATATATATATGTAAAAATTCAGAATCAGTGGGCCTTTATGGAAGTCTTAATAATAATAGCTATCTTTTGATGAGAGCCAGGCTTTGTTATTAGCACTTACGTATTATCTTTTTTTTTTTTATAGCAGATGAAGAAACTGAGGCTTTGATGATTTTAGGTAACCAGCCTGTGACTCTAGTTTCTCAGTGGTAGAGCTGAGAGAAGCTTGGAGTCAGAGCTGATCCTTCATCTCAGCATTATTTTCTTAGGTTCCTTTCCTACTAGTTCATCACATCTTTACAACTTTGTCCCATCTTTGTAGAAGAGACAACCAGACTCAGAGGAGTTAAATAGATGCCTTACTCCAGGACACGTATATCTGTGTGATAGATGTGATAGCTTAGGTTGGAGTCTAAGTCTTCTGACTCTAAGCCTGGACCTTGCTTTCTGATTGAATCCCTGACCCTCGGCCAGTACATGTGAACAGCCCCCGAAGATCTGAGTCTCACGGCCAGCCCATGTATTCTCTGTGCCTCTCTGGTTTGCAACATGGTGCTGTTGCTTTTATAGTGAAGTGTAAAATCAGGGGCTAGAATGACTTCAGGGCATTAACCATGCATGTCAAGTGAAATTCTAATGAGATTTTCTGAGTAGGGTGGAATTTTGTGAAAGTGACAACTTCACTACAAATTTCTTTTCCTTATACATAATTTTAATACAGAAATTCTTCTGTAATATAATTGTTAAGGGACGTTGTTATTTTTACTCTTAGGTCATTGCTAGAATCGTGGATGGAAGCAGATTCGATGAATTCAAAGCCTTATATGGAGACACATTAGTCACAGGTATGAAGATGAAGAATTGAAAATGTGAATATTTTCTGATGCTTTGAAAATAAGTGATCTCTTGTCTCAAATCTCTGATGCACTTGGCAAGAGCTTTGTTATTTAGAGCAGTACAAATGTGTGAGTCAATATTCAGAAGGAGCTGTTTTATAAATTTTATGTGTAGCTGAACGGCTTCATGGATCCAGAGTTTAAAATGACGATGGCCTGATTCTGTGGTGTGGGCCTTTATGCTGTGACTTTGTGACATTACCTATATGAAAAGTTTCTTATCATAGTAAAATTAACAGAAATACTTGTAGTTCTGTATTTCTCTGGATAACTATAATTATTTTAAAAATTTCAACACTGTCTCCTTCATTCTTTAGTCTCCAGTTCAACTAGAAAGTTTTCTATGATATTTAAGTTTCCCAGAAGGCTGCAGACTGAGTCAAACCTCACAGCCTCTGTATAGGTCTAATGTTGACTCACACAAATACTAGATAGAGAATACAGGACAGAGTACCAAGACTGCAAAAAAAAAAAAAGTTTATAAAGTGAATTCATTTACCTAAAGTGTTTAGTTTGTAGGACTTTGAAGAAAAAACTTGAAATGTAGATACTGGATCTATAATGATTATCTTGAACAAATGGCAAAACAATTTGGGGCATTTTATTTGGTCTTACAACCAAAGACAACATACCAGAGTAGAAAAAAAAACAAGTAGCTGCAGAAATCCAAATTGCAAATATACATTGAGGCTTAAGGATAAGTCACAACACTTTCTCCCGGTCTGATTTATGAACAAGAGAAGGGTTCACAGTGGGAGTGGAATTTATGTGTTTGTATTTAGGTGTTTAAGTGATTAAGAGTTTTTTGTCTGATATATAGACAGGATTTGTCACCAAATAGTTCAGGATGTAACCCTCATTGTACAGCAATTTAAAACCAGTTGAAGCTGTTTCTGCTGCTTTCTTAAAGATTGATGGGCTGCCTTTGTCATCTCTTTTATGTATTGGCCCTGGACTTGCTCAAAGACTTGTTACCTTTGCCCCCAAAATACCAGGGAGAGATCCACTTCCTTCCATCTCCTCTTGTCTGTACTGGAATTCAAATAAGACTGAGGAGAGGGGAAGGGATGAGAAGGAAAAGAGAAGAACGAGAGGGTGATGGGGGGATGAGGGTAAAAGGAGGGGATGAGGTGGGGAGGAGGGAGAATGATGGGGAGCAGGCCATGAGAGGATGGGGCCATAAGAGGGAGTGAGGAGGGAGAAGGACAAGTTTTTCTAAGGCTCAGGTATCTCTGGCAGTTCTTACAGCTTTCCTCCTGCCCCTGCACTTGCCATATGTAGGCCCTAGTAGTTTCTTGGACATCTCGCTTTCTTGTTTGGCCCCTAGGAAGTTGGAGAAGGTGTTCCTTCCACGCGCGACCCAATGTAGTGGGACGTATGCCCCACTCAGTAGGTTCTGTGCCTGGAAATCCCAGGCAGGACTAAGGACAGATGGAAAGTCCAAGTAGCTAACAGAGCAGTATACCGTCAGGGGGAGCACCTTTACTGCTGAGACATATGCCAGATTCCCCGCTCTTTTCGTGGGGCAGGGGGGACTCAGAGTGGATTGCTAGACCTTTGGGAAGTTGGCCCCTCTGAATTGCCTTTGTAAGTGGCAGTGCCCTTTAGGGTGTGCAGCATAGGCTTTTGGCTGGGATTTGAGGTCTGAAAGACCAAGAGAAATCTAGGTGATCATCAAATCTGAATGTTTCATTACATGAAATAAACATAAGGATTAAAAAACATAAATCAAGACAAAACCAGAGTAAAGGACAAAAACAAGTCTTTAAAAAATTCAGTGTTCTGAAATTTATAGTGTATAGCACAGGGAAATATATTCAATATCTTATAGTAGCTTATGGTGAAAAATAAAAGAAAGAATATGAAAATGAATATATGTATATTCACGTGTGATTGAAGAATTGTTCTGTACACCAGAAATTGACACAACGTTGTAAACCGGCTATACCTCAATAAAAAATAATTCAGTGTTCTAGCTTATCAATAGGTTAACATTCTCATCCATTTATTTATTGAGCACCTGTTTTGTGTTAAGTGCCACATGCTGGGTGTCTTAGAGGCAGTCTGTCCAGCTTGATCTTGAAGACAAATCCTGATCCAGGAACTTTGGTAGGATGTTTCCTTTAACCCACTCTCACAAGCACAGTTTGTTGACCCTTGCTTCCAAGTATTTGACACCTACTTATAGTGAAGTAGGTTTGTTGAAAATCATCCTTGAGAAGGTCTCACATTTTTTAATGTTTACAAAATAATTGGCCTCCTGAAATCACCTAAAGTGTTTACTCCACAAAATAACAGGGTTTTCTTCCCTCCTTTTCTTCTCCCTTATTTCTCCCGTATGTGTGTGTGTGTGTGTGTGTGTGTGTGTGTACAGAGAGTGGGTATTTAGAATGGTAGTGGAAGTGATGGTGAGACAGAAACGAAAACTTGTAGAAAGAAGAAAGAAAAAGATGCTAACACAGAAAGTGAAAGGGGCATGATTCATTCTTCTTCTAAGCTTAATTGGATTTCTTACCTTAAACTCAGTTACCATAAGGCTTGACTGGGTGCCTGCTTTTTAAAACTTTAAAAAAAAAGTTTGCCTTTGTTTATCCCCTTTATGTCAAGGGCCTGTTATTACCACAGGTTTTTTAAGGCAAGCTGGTCACCTGAAACTGGCCAATGGCTCTGAGTGTTGACCTTTATTTATCATTGGACCATTTTATTTATTTATTTATTTTATTAAAGTATTTACAATGTTGTGTTAGTTTCTGGTGTACAGCATATTTTTTCATTATAGTTCATTACAAGATATTGAATATAGTTCCCTGTGCTATACAGTATGAACTTGTTTATCTATTTTATATATATTAGTTACTATCTGCAAATCTAGAAGTCCCAATTTATCCTCCCCTCCATCCCTCCTTGAACATTGACCTTTAAATTTATGTCTCTGATTGTTCTATTTCAGAATACCCTCCATAGCTGGTACATAATAGGCATTCACATATATATTACATGAATTAATGGATGACACACTCACCCAATCGTCTAACCAAACAATTGGTCAGACAAGTGGATAACTTTACACATAACCCACCCCTTTCTAGAAGGTAAAGAACCCAATCTCCAGTATCTTAGAAATAAATTGTACCATGAGCTGTTTTGTACCATAGACAAAATGTCTACATTTTAAGCATTGATTTGATATTAAAGAATGTATAAATATGTCTGTTTGTTGTAAATTAAAAGCCCTCTGAAACATAAACATCTTTTTTCAATTTTCTTCTGAGGATTTGCTAGAATATTTGGATACCCAGTTGGTATTATTGGAAACAATGGAGTTCTCTTTTCTGAATCTGCAAAAAAGGCAAGTACTGATAAACATACTTCAGGATTTTTCTGTTTTAACCTAAACATTATAAAACAATGAATGAAAATCTATTGCATAGAAGCTTTAAAATATTTAGGTAGATGTCTTAGCAAGCAGAACACTGTGTGTGTTAATGTTTGAAACAGCTTTGGGGAGGATTACATGAACATGATGAACTATCTTGAGCACTATTAAAAATACAGATGTTTTAGGAAAGTTCTTAATACTTGAACTATAATTGATGGATGATATGTACATATTCTAAGGATATAGGAATATTTGTCTTTAAAGTGTTTCATGCACTCGAGGGATTTAAAGATACTGTTCACATGGTTCTGAGACATGATATACTCTATTCTATCCTATCATCTGTTTTCACTTTTTGGAAATGGAAAGAGAGTATGTCTTGTTACAGAAGCTCTGGTTTTAAAAGAGGGAGTTAATGAATATCTTTTGGCTTAATATTCAGTTTCATATGACATTGTCTCAGGTTTACCTAAACTTTGATAAATGTAATTCATGTACTTATTTGATAAAATATTTTCTTAAGAAAATAAAAAATGTTTAGCCTTGTTTTTCTTCTTCCAATGATAGAGTACGTAACAAGGTAAAGGGCTTCTTACTGATACAGGTATCAGGAAGTTGAGCACTTTCCTACCCTAAGTGAGGAAGAATTTGTCTTTGGTGGAATGTTTTACCAGTAAAGTTAGTTTCTGTATTTTGTTACTCGTTGTTGTTCCCCTGTTGCAATTATAAGATGAAAATAAGAAAGAAAAGATAAGTCACCTACACTCATACAAGAAATAAGCTTGAGTAAGATGTTATTATGGTTCTTTAGTTTTTGCTACCCACCCTTTTATAAACAAAATTGATGTTATTATACAGAGAGGTTTTGCTTGTTTTCATTTAATAACATATTGTGAGTGTTTTTTAAAATATTAAATATTCCTAATACAATGACTTTTAATGACTATAATACACTTATTTCAATAGAGGATATATCACATGGAGGCCAAAAAACTCTGCCTAGTTTTATTTGTTGGCTTGGCATGAATAAACCCGGGAGGAGAGTTATGTTTGGCCTGTCTGACATTTCATTTATTGAAGTAAGCCCTCAAAGTCTATGTGATTTCCTCATTCTTGTATTCAGGGTTGAGCAATTGCTTGACAATCTTGTACTTCCCAAGGCATTTCATCGTAAGTTAAAGGGATCTGCAAATAGAGTGTAAAATATAAAGGAAACAGTTTGAAATGTTTTCTTACTCACATAATGTTTAGAAGATAGGGAGAGGAGTAGTCATATTTTTGTGTCATTAAAGACCTAATTTCCAAATTCAAGGCTAAAAGGTGTCTAGCAGTCATCTAAAATCCCATTTATTTGGAGTATGTTGATAAGAAAGACATATTTTATCATACTCTTGCTACATGAAAGAATTCTAGATGATCATCAAAATGTAGATATCCCAGAAGAATTTATATTGTCTATTTTTAAGTGGAAAGCTAGAGAATTATCTTACGGTGAGGCTTAGAAATTCTCATTGACAAGCAATTCTGTCTTCTCTGTTACTAAAGTTTCACTTGCTGTTTGGAATGTTAGTGATTGACTTCATCCTGAACACAGGAGCTTTCCTACAGCCATGTGCCAGTGATCACACAGATGACTGTGCAAAACAAGTACAGTGCAAGCCACAGTCACGTGTTCCATTATTGATGGGTCTGCAGTGTCGTATCGTTACTGTTACTATCAGGTCAGACTAGCCAAGCAAAGGGTACTCTTTCTTGTCTTTGACCCAAGTGTGGTGTTTGCAGGATGCATGGCGATTACAGATTTGTTAACCTCCCTCTAAAAAGATTTTTATCTCATTTGCTTATAGGGGGCTCATTTTATCCAGTTATGCTGCCAAAGGAATATCCCTCTGCTGTTCCTTCAAAACATTACAGGTAAGAAAATAGCTTAACCAGTTGGTTGCATTTATTCTAAAGTTGCATTGTCCAGTATGGCTCATGTAGTGGACAGTGCAGTTATAGAACACTTTCATTATAGCAGAATGTTTTATTGGACATGCTTTTTTTAGATTACCTTTAAGGGTTAATGCTTCATAATTTTAAACATTTGGGGGAATTTATCCATATTTTTAAGTGAAGCAGTTTCTGAGTTTTGTGCATCACATTTAAGTTGCCTCCCTTTCTTCCTACTCACCCAGAAAGCAACAGAGCTGTTCTCTGCCGGTAACACTCTCTGATTGCTGCAGAAAGGTGTTGTCTGACCTATCGTCTCTTTCCTAGTCCTTTGTTTCCCTTAAAGGATTTCAGGCACATGCTATGGTCTTCCATTTTCTTCCTTTTTTTTAATGAAGCTACTGGGGACCTCGTGCATGCTAAGCCTGCAGTCTACCATTAAGCTATACCCACCCCCTCCTCCCTTTTCCTCATCTTTTATTGTGTAGTTAATTCTACCTGAAGCAATATCTTTTTAAAATGGACATGCACATCCTGAACCAAAGTTTGGGATTTGAGCTTTGACTCCAGAGAGTGGTATGACCAATGTCAACTCTCTGAGTTTATGTTCCACAGATGATCTTAACATGGAGTTTGAAATGATTTTTAAGGTATTTTATGGTTGTACAGCTCTTTTTCCTAGAATTGTATGATTCTCATATTATACTTTTTTGTATGTTGCATGGTACCTGACATATATGAGGCCCTCAGATATGTTGGTTAGCTGAAAACTTTTGTTCCCCCAGTCTTCTAAGTCAAGCATGGTTATCTCAGGTTCAGAGGAAAGAGAGATGCTTAATTTGTAGTTGGGATCAGGCATGCCTTTATGAGAAGCAGTTTGGCTCTTGATAATCATCACGGCTTTAAATAATACTGGTGCTAAAACATCTTCATCTGGTGCTGTTCGTAAGTTTAAGATATTTGGTCAGATGACTTTTGAGAGGAATTATATCAAGATGGCACCCAGAGAGGGCTCTATGTAACAAAGACCTTGTAAAAGGACAGGTGAAACTTCACTAGTCCAGAGACCTGGTTTCTAATAATGATTCATGATTTATTAACCAGCATTAAGTCAAACTGTGTGCTTGGAAGATTCCTACATATTTGTTTTGTTTTATTTTTTAGGTGGGTTGGAGACAGAGAGCAGGGTTTGAGTTTTGTTTTGTAACATTGCATTTGAGGGAACTGTGTGACATCCATGTGGAGATAAATGGTAGGCAGCTGGAAAGTCTTGAGCACAGAAGAGGAATGTTAGCTGGAAGTGAAAATGTAGGCATCATCAGGATATGGAGGTGCTATTTAAAGCTGTGGAAATAGGCAACACCCAGATAGAAGAGAAAGGACTCAGGGACAATCTTTGAGTAACTGTAATTTCCTCCACAGAGATGAGAGTAAAGGGAGAAAGGCAGCATGATATGTTGCTGTTTACAGTAGGAAAAAGAAGGGTTGGAGAAAGCAAAGTGAGATAGCTTCAGACTTCTTTTTGAAGGTAAAATCATTCACATGGTCTAGCGGGGCAGTGAGGTTGTGGGTTGGTGGGATGGTGGGTAGGGAGTGAGAGCTTAAAGAGAGTAGATATTTGAGATAGCTGCTGTGGAAATGTTACAGGAATCAAGATAAAATAGATAAAGCGGTTTTTGAGCTATTCTGAGGGCCCAGCTCAGAGGGCCTGGGTGAGGGGAGGTGCAGGTAAACAGAGGAAGCAGATGGTGTCTGGTGAGGGCAAGGCTCTTATGTCAGTACTATCGCATCCTTAGCAAGTACAGGTGATTCATAAGAAATGGCTGAGTTGAGTTGGATGACCTGGTGGTAGGGATTGCAAAGCAAAAACAACAATAATCAAGTGGGCATGAGTCTGCAGGTGGGGAGGGGGACAGATGAAGCCTGACTTAGCTTAGAAAGTGAAGAAGAGGGACTCCAAGGCCTGGAAGGTCCAGTGCAGCTGCAGACCAGTTTCAACAGAGCCTGGAGCTTGAAGAAGTAGAAAGATCCCTTAATTATAATAAGAATTCTTTTACCTTACTATCAAGTCACCAACAGGGACTCTGAGCGTCTCTATGAAACATTAATTTTATTTTGTCAAAGTTTTAAAGCAGCACTTCAGAAGGAACAGTCTGTATTTTAAACCAGGTCAGTGAATCCCGAAGCCCTCATAGCTGGGCTTGTACAGAACTTTTTCTTAGCTTACAGTGTCATGTTCTTTTATCACCAAGCTGCTGTTTTAAGATAATTTCTTAAAGATAAGCTGCATTCTTAGCTTGTTTGAGGATTTCTGTGTGTGTCCAGATGAATCATTTAAAACATTTTAAAAATGATTAGGGAAAATTTTATTTTACCTTGAAGGTAAACTTTCTTGGGGGTATACTTCACATATAAATATTTTGTTAGCGTGAGAGGTCTGTAGTAAAATGTAGTTTGACAAGATGTCCTTCTCGTACCTTGGTGAAGATGACTTCTGCACATTAATCCCATCACCCAGAGGCTCTCTTTCTGTTCTTTCTCATAGGATTTATGATTGGTAGAGACTATGAAGCTGAAGGAATTGCCAAGGATGGCGCCAAGTTGGTGACTGCCGTGGCCTGTGCCAATGTGCCTAAGATAACTGTCATCATTGGGGGATCATATGGGGCTGGAAACTATGGGATGTGTGGCAGAGCATATAGGTAGGTGGTTGTCATGGTTGTCTCTGAAAGAATGAATCATACTTCAAATATAATTATGAATGCTCAGTTTATTTCAAGTTTATCTGAAATATAGAGTGACATTCACAAATCTTGATTAATTATACCATAATTTTTTAATTATACCATAATTTGTATCATTTGGAGGGGTGAAATGAAATCTAATGCTAAAGGTACCACTTGGAAGAAATCCACAGTGGGAATCAGAAAATATTTTGGAATAGCCAATAATGAAAATACTACATATCATGACTTGTGTGATGCAGCTGAAGTCTTGCTTTGAGAAAGGTGTGTGGACTTAACTAAATATCCTGGAAAAGAAGTAAGGCTGAAAATCAATAAGCCAAGTAGCCACCTCAAGAAGTTCAAAGAAGATTGGCATATTAAACACAAGAAAAATAGAAACAGAACATAATAAAGAGCAAACACTATAAAGATAGAAGAATCAGAAAAGTCCAAAGTTGCTTTGTTTAAAAATGTTAACAAACTTGATAATCCCCCAGTAAAACGAAAAATATAAAAGGAGAAGGTGCATGTAACTAATATTAAGAATGAAATACAGGGCTTGACTGCAGATAATAAGAGGTATTTTGAATACTTTTTTGCCCAGTAAATTTAGGTGAAATGGAAAAATACAGTCTATCAAAATGAATAGCAGAATCACCTGGAGAACTTAAAAATCCTACCATGCTCAGGCCCCACTGCTGGAGATTAGTCTAGGTTGAGTTCTAGGCATTGTTGTTGTTGCTTTTTAACCTTCAGATAATTGTAATGTGCAGCTAGAATGAAGAACCACTAATTTAAAAGGTAAATATGGGCCTCTGAATATTTCTGTGCTATACAGTGAATTCATTTGGTCATTCTTTTTCTCCCCCGCTATAGCCCAAGATTTCTCTACCTGTGGCCAAATGCTCGTGTCTCAGTGATGGGAGGAGAGCAGGCAGCTAACGTGCTGGTGACAGTAGCAAAGGACCAAAGAGCACGGGAAGGGAAACAGGTAAATGCCATTTCTCCTTGGTCCCTGGGTTTGGCTTTGCCCAGAATACCGTGGAGCCAGGGAGCAGCACAGTCAGGACCCCTCCAGGTTTGTGGGTAGAGTTCCAACAGGCAGAGCTTGGCTTTGCCTAGAAGATGGTGACCTGGAAGTTGTTTAGCAACCTAGGCTTAGACATTCTCCCTCTCTCTTTTTAGAGTCATTTCATTTGAAGTACCTTCTCGTGGTAATTTACAAATTTTTCAGATTCTCCAAGAAAACACTTCCAAAACACTGTCTTTGGGTGCCTGAGGCATAAAGATGTTTGATTCTTAGTCATTTGCATTTAGTGAGATTTAAATAAATCTGACTTACATCTTTGATTTTATGCCCTAAAGTGGCAGAATTCTGTTTTCTATTTTACTTTTAGATTGTTGTTAAGGATACCTTGAGTGGGAGGGCCCAGACATCTAATGAGCATGGAATACCATTATTATATTACACTGTGTGAAAATAAAATGAAGAAAGGTGGACAGGGTACTGGAAGCTTAGTGAAAAGCAAATCTGCAAGTGGCTGCTTTTAAAATGAATTCTTTTGTTTGTGTTTCTGTTAGATATTTGTCTGGAATTTTGCATTAAATTTTATTATAACTTGTAACTATTTTGTAAGCACCAAGCCTTAAAATGATTGATGTATGTCCCTGAAGTTGCTTAGGTGCACTGTCTCATCATAACAAGGCATAACACAGAGGAGGCCCTACCTTTGCAAGCTCTCAGTCCTGTCATTTAGTGATTGATCATCTGGTGGAGTCGGGCTAATATAAAGCCAGAGCATGGTTCCTGCCTCCTTGAATGTTGAATGCATCCCACCCATGCCTCACATCCCAGCTATCTTCTTCAAGCAGTAGTAACTCTGTAGACTTTAATCGAGGTTTCAGATTCACTTTAGTACTGACTACTATCCAAGCAAAAGGAGAGCTTTACTTTTATGTGTATATAGGGAGGAGTGAGGGAGTAGGGGATATGAAATTCTACCTAGTATTTTGAAGATACGTCTTGAACTCTAGCCCAGCATGGTGATCTCTTATTGATTAATTTGTTACACAGATACGTGAATTCATGTATTTTTATATATGGAAGTATAAAATTTTAATTGTTCTCCTTCCAAATTCTTGATCTATAAATGATATTAAACCTTGGAAGTACATTAAAAAAGTTGGGTTTATTTGAAATAAATCATTTATTTTTGTTGTGGAATATTTTTTAAGTTGAAAATGCTTTTCTGGGTTTCAAAATTTGTTTGCATAAAGATTTTTATGTCTGAATTAATTATTGCTTGTTTCTGGCAATACTGATGGGCAAGCCATTTAATTTTTAATTAGGGAAAAATATCTCTCAGCTATCTGGGAAATTGAAGAGGTTATTTAAGATGTGGTTGATGTGTTTTATGCTTATTGCTTTAAGCTTGAAATGTTTAAAATTTTGGCTATTTGGAATGAAAATCCTCTACTTTTTCACCTTCTTAGACAGAAGCTGCTAAATGTATTAATGCTCTTTTGTTATATCATATAATTCATATCCATTGCTGTACCCTGCTGGGATATGTGATAACCTTGGTTTTGACCTTACATTAAACAGCCACAGGATGTTGATTCTGATAAGGGAGATATAACAGTGCACTAATTTGAAACTCGTGTCTCAGGGGAGATGATGTTTGTTAAAGCATCACTTGTAATCTATACATCACTATGCAGATGTTGGTTGTAATATTATCATTCATGAAATCTGTTGCCCCCTTTCCTTGAGATTCTCTTGAGTGGGTCTGTTTTTCCACTGCAGTGGACTTAACTCATGGTCCCTTTTCTTTCAGTTCTCCAGTGATGATGAAGCAGCTTTAAAAGAGCCCATCATTAAGAAGTTTGAAGAGGAAGGAAACCCTTACTATTCCAGTGCAAGGTGGGAGCCAGAGAATAATTAACTCCTTAATGGGCACATCCTGGAAGTCAGGGCAGCAGCTTTTCAGAGACCTGAGCAATTGGAATGGTCCAGCCTTCCTGAGAAAGAAAGAGTAATGTTTGGATACACTTAATTTTGTACTTTTGTCTCTTTAATGGAAATGCGTGCTGCTGAAATGCTGCCACTTCTCCCAGGTGGGGCTGCGGATCCACCACCATTGGTCTGATTCTGCCCCTCTCCACCCCTTCCCTTCCTAGTTGAAGTATCCGAGGCCTGGAGGAGCACTGTAGCCAGAGATGGACCACACTGGGGCTGGGGCTGGGAAGTTAAGAATTATAATCCAGGCTGTGTTACTTTCAGGAATTAATTCTGCAGTGATTTTTGTTTAACATATGGATTCCTGTCATACCTCTCTCTGAATATTTTGTTTTCACCCCATTTTAAGCATGAGATTGGTTGAACACTTACTGACACTTGTTAACAAGTGTGCTTGTGCATTCAGAAGGTGATTAGTCATAGCCAGGGTCCATGTGTTAACACCACCCGATTACCTCATACACCATTGCAGCTCTTGTTCTGTCTGTTTCTTACACCACTTAAATGAGGTGATAAATTATCACAGCTGTTCCTGCTGGAGACTTATGTGTGCTTTCAGACCCCTTTTTTCAACAACTTTAATGTTCTTCACTCTGAAGAATGATTTAAACTTCATGTCTTCCTTTTATCCCTCAGGCAGATTGGTAAAAAGAAAAAAACTGTGTCTTTTAACGTTAGGTTATGCTGTGATTTATGCTATTTACTGGTGAAGGCAAACTGGAGAGGAGGGAGAAAAGAAAATCAAAAGTTAAAATCCATTTCAGTCATTTTGAAGGCATCTTTTGTGGCAGGCACTGCTCCTGATGTTGGGGGTGGAAGTGGGTGCAAAGATGGAGCATACTTATTTTCCAGAGCATAATTAGGTTCAAAATTCAAATAATACCACTTGGGAGTTTTAAAAAGCCTGTTTTGCTTTTTGTTAGTATGTGCTTTTGCAAGCAAATGTACAGGTATATTTTGTTGTGTTTGGTCATTGATTTATTAAATTAAGAACAAAATATTTCATAGTCTTTGATTTGAGAAATATATGTTGTTTTTACTATCACTTAGATAGGCTTATATAGTAGCCAGTAGATGCAAAGGGGAAATAGAAAACCATATAAAAGGTCAAAGAGAAAATACACATCTTAAGCTTCACCGATAGTTTTTCGTTTGTTTTTATGTAAGACTTTGACTGAAATTCACAAGGACAGTCGAAATATTAAACTTTGAAAAATAGCTTATTTTATGTGAGCCATTGATTTGTTTTTCAGCCCTGGCTAAGTCATTGCTTAAGACTGAATCTTTCATTATTTCCATACTTACATTATTATTCTTTTTAATGGATTATACTCAAGACAGGAGAGCAAATGACCCAGATGGACTTATCTTTGGAAATTAATATCGAAAAACAGTAAGGTTTTTCTGTTAATTTGGAGATGTTTAACCCTTCTATGTAAACAGTTGGTAGCACGGACACACCAGCTTTCTTTCAAAGATGAAAGGATTTTTATGCCAGTTTATGGCACTGTCCTTGGGTTTAATAAATCTCAGCTTAACAATGATTGGGGAGGGCATAGCTCAGTGGTAGAGCACATGCTTGTTAGCATGCATGAGGTCCTGGGTTCAATCCTCAATAGCTCCATCAAATAAATAGACCTAATTACCCCCCCCCAAAAGCCAAATAAACAAACAAACAAAAAATAAATAAAAAAGCCCAATAAAATTCTGTGGTCTGTTTAAGCTTTAACATGGCTGTTTAGACTTTTCTGTCTTTTCAGAGAGCACTGTCATCATCTGCTGCTGTAACCTCCTATGTTTTTCTTAATTCTCATGTTACATTTACAGTATGCCAATTTTCTTCTGCCCAGTTGTTTATATAGCCAAACTTGATCTGACGTTTGATTAGGGCCTCTTACCTGGAGCAGCCCCGGCACCATCATGCTTGCTGTATTACTCTGCTGTAGGCTTCAGAAGGGAGTGTAATCATTTGACCTGGTTACAAATTACAAGAGTAATTTTTTTTATTGGCTGTTGATACTTCAGGATCCCTATTATGAATGTTTTATGAGCAAAGGTTTGATTCATGGTCTGTTGATACAAGTATGGTTTAATAATTGATGCTATGTCCAGATACTGAAGGCAGTTTGTTTAAAGAAAGCAAAACTGCCACCTACTAATGACCTTTAAAAAACAATTATTTCCTTCTCATTTTTCTTTATAAATTTGAGGCTGTCCTTGAAAAACAAAGATTTTTACTTAAAAGTTTCTTCTCAAAGTAGTTTAAAGCTATTATTTGTTTTCTGAAGGTGTTTATTTTATTAATAAAATGTACTGAAATCTATTTAATGATTTTCATAATTTCTTAAGAGTTTAGGAGTTTGGGGGAATATACCTTTTCCAGTAGGGACTTTGGTGGGAGAGTATTACCTGGGTTTATGTGGCTCTTCATAATAACAGCAGTAATGTATCAAGTTGATTTGTATGCTTGTGTGGGCAAAGGAAGGACTGGAAAGTTTTTGCTGAAATAAATAAAAATATTTTAAAACCAGGGATTATTTTGAGGCTTCTTGTAGTAAGCTGTTCCTAAAGCCATAAACTTGATTTGACATTTTGTGGGATCCTGAGACAAAAGTCATGTTATTTTTCTTTCTCCCACCCCTCTCTTGAGCATGGTCTCTGTTGTGAGACTGTAGTACACGGAAGCTAATCAGTAGGTCCATATATTACCGGAAGAAAAACATCCTAGGTACTTTCAGGCATAGCGTGTGTAATTGGTGGTTTCGTGGTGAATTCCTAATGACTCACTTTTTGTTTTTTTATCAGGCTGTGGGATGATGGGATTATTGATCCAGTGGACACCAGACTGGTGCTGGGTCTCAGTCTTAGCGCAGCCCTCAACGCACCAATCCAGAAGACTAGCTTTGGCACCTTCAGGATGTAATTGGAATGTAAAGCATCTTCCGCTGGACATGTACTAAAAATTAATAATTAGTAGCCTTAAAATTTTCAACTTTTTCAACATGTGGCTATTACAGTAAACTTGTTTTCTTAACACAGTGCATTGTACTTTTCTACCTTAAAAAATGTCAGTGAAGATATTTATTTCATGACCTTCAATTCCTTGTAAATTTTCTCAGAGAAACTTTTCTGTGGCTTAGCTTTACCACCCATAAAAGAGACTAACTTGACAGTTATCCTTTTAAAACCATAAGTAGTATGAAAAGTTCTGTAATCTGTAAATTCCAGGCATTGTTGAGATTATTAACATAAAGTTGTGTTTCCACTGAAGAGATTGCTTTGCTGATTATGCATGGTGATTTTTTAAATGTACTTTAAAAAAATCAGTTACTTTTCCCTCCAGCCACTGTCCTCCGCTTCCATAATTGGCAGACTTCTTGCTGTCTGCACTGTGGGCTCTATTTCCTACCTGTCCTCTCCTCACCCTCTTGCTTTCTGGCTTCCTCTGCTAACAGCCCTCTCCAGGGTCACTATTGACCTCTATGTTGCTGAAACCAGGGGGCTTCTTTCCGACTTTTATCTGATTTAATTCTCTGGGGCATTCACATCAGACACTTCCTCCTAGAAATGCTGTCATTAGCGTCCATGACTAACGCTCTAGGTTTCCTACCAACCTCCTTGGTCATTCTCTCCCAGTTTTCTTTGCAGGCCCCACATCCTCTGCTGAATCCTCCTTCCCTTCACCATTTGTCTTGATTTTTCACTGGTAGTATGTGAATACTTTCTTATTCTAAAAGACACATTCATTGTCTTTTAACTGTGGTAAAATATATATAACATAAAGTTTACCATTTTAACCGTTTTTAACTGTGCTGTTCTGTGACATTAAGTACACGGAACATTGTTGTGTAACCATCACCACCATCCATCTCCAGAACTTTTCATCATCTGAAACTGAAACTCTGTTATTAAACAGTTAACTCCTCATTCCCTCCTCTCCCTGGCTCTGGCACATCTCCTTTTTCTTTCTTCCTTTTTTTTTAAATTGAGATATAATTGAACATCACACAATATTAGTTTCAGGTATAAACATAATGATTCAATATTTGTATATACTGCAAAATGATCACCAAAATAAGTCTGGTTACCATCCATCATCATACAGAGTTACAAAGTTTTTTTTTTCTTTTTTTCTTCTGATGAGACTTAAAGTCTTCTTGCCTAGCAAATTTCAAATATGCACTACAGTATTATTAATTGCAGTTACCATGCTGTATATTACATCCCCAGGACTTATTTATTTTATAACTGGAAGTTTGTACCTTTTGACCCCCTTCACTTATTTTGTCCATTCCTACCCCTCTCTTCTCTGGTAATCACCAATCTGTCTATGAGCTTGGTTTTTTTTGTTTTGCTTTGTTTTGTTTTTTGGTTTCCAAATATAAGTGAGATCTTATGATATTTGTCTTTCTCTGTCTAACTTACTTCATTTAGCATAGTGACCTCAAGGTCCATCCATTGTTGTTGCAAATGGCAAGATTCTGTTCTTTTTTATGGCTGAATGTTATTCCTCCTCATTCTTTTTTTTTAAACTTTTTAAAAATTGAGTTAGAGTCAGTTTACAGCGTTGTGTCAATTTCCAGTGTAGAGTAAAATTTTTCAGTTATACGTGAACATACATATGTTCATTGTCACATTCTTTTTCGCTGTGAGCTACCACAAGATCTTGTATATATTTCCCTGTGCCTCCTCATTCTTAAATGTATGTGTTTTTCATTGCTTGATTTATTCTCACTGGTTGAATTTAGCCCTTCTTACGGCTTCAGTTGCCATCTAAATGGAGATGATCCCTGTATTGACTGTTGTTAATATAGTTCTCCCCTGAGCATCAGACCGGCATAATTGAACAGGTCTGAGGAACCTCAGATTCAGTTATCAAGTTCTATCGATTTTGCCTGCTATCTCTTAAATTCCCCCTCTATTTTTATCTTTTACACAGGCCTTAGAAGTGGTCTACCTGCAACCAGTCTTAACCTATTCCAGTCTCTCCATCACTCTGGAATGAGGATGGCCTTCTGAAGTGCACATCTGTCCTGCTGCTCCCTTACTGACATCTTTCCTTGGTTCCTTGTAGAAGTGCAAACCCCTAATGCCCTCCCTGGATCTTGGTCATCATCTTTTCAGTCTCATCTCCTTGACTCCTCTTTTCACACTTGGTACTGCACCCGTTCGAGACTTTTTCCAGTTCCTTGAACCTACAAAGTCCCACCCACCCACCCAAGCGTCTATCAGTTTCCCTCTGCCTGAACTGTTCTTTTCTCCCTTCTTAAAATACTTATCTCTTTGTCTTTGTGATTTGCCTGGGCTGGGTTAGACACTTACTATGTGCTCCTGTAGAGCAGCATCTACTTCCTGTCACTCCCTCTGTCTTTTGTGTTATGAGAAATATAAACATTTTTTTAATAGTGTCGTCCTGCTCTATAGAATGTGAGCTCTGTGAGAGCAGGGATCCTCCTGTTTGGCCTAAATTTCCAATTCCTGGCACTTATAGGTGCTCAGTTATTTGTTGAATGAATGAAAAGTCCCTGTCTTAATTGTGTCGTCAGGCCACATCATTTTAAAATTAAGTGATATATGATTTAATATAACTATCAAATGCTTTCCTAATAAAATTAATAATTCAAACATTTGTGTGTGTGATGTTCAATTTAGGCTGCATTGTGTATCAAAAGTCAGTTTAGTTTTTTGAGCTGTTCACAGATAGATGACCACAGTTCAGGGGGGAGGCGTTTTGAGAAGAATGTTTGAGGAGGTCACGGGGAGGATGTGACCACCCGTTGACCCCTGACCCGGAACCGGCTGGTCGTTGGTTCCTCCCCCTCCCCGACCGCCGGCTATTGCTGTAGCTTGAAGAACGCCGCCTTGAGGGAGGAAGGTGTTGGGACCGTCTGGACTGAATACGTCACTGAACCCCACTAAGGCCTCTCTGTAAACTTTTAAGAGCCTGGTGGGCAAATGTGGTGACCTCCTCGTCTCTCGGCTGCGTCTAACCTCCAATGTGAGTTTGCCGCTTATTACACCTGCCACCTCACAACCTGGAGCGGCCGCCTCTCCTCCGTCTCTTCTGGTCCTCCGTGTGTGGGGCTAGTTTGCCAGCCCACAAAGGAAGACAGTAAGTATTTTAAAATAGTAAATTATGTTACATTTTCAGTTAAAATTTACATCCATGTCAGAAAACTTTTAAAAAAATTAAGACTAGATGGCTTTCCGTTGATGGGAGCCATCAACACGTCAAAGACTCATGGATATTTTACGAGTATTTTTACCTTTCTCCGTTTAGGAAGGTCATGGTTATTAATAACACCACACTTAAAATAATTAAAGTTATTTTGTATAGTTTATCCAATAAAAAAACATTTATAATGCTCTACCAAAATAGGCAGCGTTTTTTGTCTGCCTGCCCTCCCAGCTTTATTTACATATAATTGTCATACATTGTGTAAGTTTAAGATGTAAAATGTGATGATTTGATACACTTACATATTGTGAAGTGGTTACCACAATATGGTTACTTAACACAACCATCACATCACTTAACTGATTTTTTTGTAATGAGAATTTTTTTTAACATTTTGGTTATTATAAATGTGAATTTCAGTCAGGGTATATGAGTAACTTAAAGACTAACTATATTTCTTAAAATTCTTTATTAGCCTTTTTGGACACTTAATAAAAAATAGACAAAATTACTTCTGTTTCTTAGTTTTCAAGAAAAATGTTTTCAAATGAGAATTTGTCAAAATATTTTTTTCTGCACTAGCAAAAGGTACTGTTGAATGTGCAAGTGAAAAATTGATTACTTACCAAATGTGCATGCTTACATGCAAGGCAAAACTAGAGAGAAGCTGTTTATTACCTTTACAGGGGCAGAAGCATGTTTTTGAATGATTTCATTAATAAGACTTTTTTGGCGAGGAGGTCACATTGTTCCTGTTCTGAAATGTATTGATAACGGTGTTCTGGAAGGATGGTTGTTGACTGCTTTGGCCAAAGCTGGTTTTTACTGATCTTTTAATGATTGGTTCTGAAATTCAGTATTTAGAAAAATGGCAAGAAAATGAACTAGATACTCATGGCCTCCTGTCATTTATAACATTTCTCTCTAAATGTTACAAATTAGATACAACTAATATTTAATGAAGTCATAGGCTTTTATTATTTTGACAAAAACACCTTTCCACAAAACACTTAAAAATAATTTTTTATTTAATGTGCCTCAAATTCTCTTGTATCTGGAATCAGGAGGCTAAAGACATGATTGTTCTCGGAGCTCAGTGAAATTTCTGTCTGCCTTTGATTTTTCTAGGCAGACGTACATTCCAAATGAGGAGGCTTATAATCAAGGTAACTTACAATTGACTGTCCATTCTGGGGTGCTTTTGAAAGGGTCCTACTCATAATTACACTGGATATGGGTGTGAGCCAGGACTGACCTGGCTGATTGGGACGTGTGGTTGCTCTGTCTGTAGCTCGCTATCGTGGACTGAATGCTGATGCTACATGTCAGATGTTGATAATTCTTACAAGCCAATATTCCAGATAGCTACTTTGTGGCTTTTTAGTGACTTAAAACAACACAGAATTGTTCACCTGTAGTTCTGCAGGTCAGAAATCTAAAACCAAGATGGCAGGGCTGCATTCCTTCTGAGGATTTGAGGAGAAAATCCGATTTCTTGCCTGTTTCAGCTTCTACAGGCCGTCTGCCTGCTTTGTAAATTTTAATAGAGGTTTTAGTATGATAAACACATGATATGCATTAGCATTCTAAAGAGCCATTTAATTGACTCATGAAGAGAGTTTACCATAGGCTGGGGGCAATTTGATTTTCTGTGGCAGCCAGCATTTCCGTATGTTTGGCAGCTTTTTCTTTGACAAAGAGGACCCAGGTCGCAGGTGTGTGCTTCTCCTTATGTTAAGGTAGAGCAATGACTCAGGGAAAACAGGGTAGAGGCTTAGAAGGTAGAGGCTTAAAAGAGAACTTACTGTGGGGAAAACATGACAAGCACTGCTTATTAGAAGTAAACTAGGGAAAAAAAATTGATGTGTAATTCTGCAAGAGTTAATTGTAAGAAGTGAACAAGTAGAATTTTGGAGAACTCAGACTAATACTAAGAGGTTTCTGTAGGAAATGTATTTGACATTTTCAACCATAGCTCTATTCATCACATTCCTATAGCTTAGGATAATTAAAAGTAGCTTTTGTTTAAAACTTATTTGTACTAAAAAAAATCCAGCAACATTATTTGTAGAAAATTTAGAAAGACAGTGAA